TTGTCCCGGTTTGTATCTTGCTATTGGGGTCTCCAGCTGGGCTAATTGTAAATTGCTTAAGAAGCAAAAACACATGCAAATTACCAATTAGCTCCTGCGCCTTCGTGAAGTAAAAGCGTGGCCAACTCTGCCTGAAAAAGAACTATATCCCTTTTCCACACAACATGGCACTTGAAATAAGCATTCTAAAGGGCAACCTTCCCGTGCTCCGCAGCTGTGTGCAAAGGAGTGCGCTTCCATCGATCCTCTCGGCCTCGAAGACTTTTCTCTCTGGGCCCTCTTGAGCCGAACTGGATCTGAATGCAAGTGGCCTATGTCGGCCCCGTTTTCCACCAGCTCCTAGCGTTCAATACTTGAGACACGCACTTGCTTTCATCTTTCATGCCAGCTTTCCACAGGAAACAGCCTTGGCCAAATTGCTCTGGCCAGCCACGGCATTGTGCAACGGTGTTCCGAGGTGCCTGTCCTACCACAAGTTTGAAGAACCGACCTACTTGTTGGAGCAGAGTCGACTGTGTCCTGTGCGTTGATATCGGCCCCATTCTTCAAAAGCAGTGCTGCCAAAGACCCATGCCTTCGCCGTGGTCAGCAACATGACATGATTGAAACTATCAGCTTCCAAGCTTCGCTCTTAAAATCCAACGAGGCCGCCAAGTGCAGCGCAGTGTCCTGCGTCGAATCACTGATAGCTCCAAGACTAAAGTGTCTAGAGATGGCGCACGCCGTGGGCATCACGAGCATTTGGTGAAGCCTGGCAGAATCAAGGCGTCGCAAACATAAGGAACAACAAATTACAAACCCTCGACAAATCGAGATCGTCATATGTCGTCTCACATCGTCGCCATGCTGGTACTTGTTCATCGCTTGTGCAAACTTGCTTTAGCACAATTCAACCAGCGTACGAGGAGCACCAAAATGAATATATACTCAGCTGACCAAGGGCGGCGGGCAAACCCTCACTCATTTCGCACAGAACAAAAACTGAGAGGTTGGGGATTCGTGGATGGATGCACCACATAGCGAGATGAAGGTATTGAATGCGCGGGCTAGCTAAGCCGTGAGTTGGCCGAGTGCTGAGCCAGCGAGGCGGTTAAATGGTGCATTAGCTACAGTAAGCTATATAGCCCAAAGATTTTCAGGACGGACTAGGTTTTGAGCTAAGAACATGTTCTAGTGTGGAACCGAACAGTTGTAAAGGACATTTGAGGTACCGAAACACTCCCAAGGAATTGAATCAGCCCACAGCACGTGGTCAGTCGCATAGCCTCATTGGGCCACGGCCACCTTGCTCATCAATGAACTCCAATACACTCTTGCGGTTCTTCCCCTGCACTTTTTCCAACCGGTTCAGACACTTTCTGTAGCTGCAGTACTGACCGCCCCACTTGGTAATGACAGCTTGGGTAGAACTCAGAACCGATTTAGCAGGTCATAGTGCAGTCCGTTTTCTAGTCTTGTCACGGAGGTTCTTTTGCAGCGCTCTTTGTCATGGCCAGTTTTGTCCTTTACCTCCGAGATTGCTACACCCCAGAAGGGAGGGGACGAAAGCCAGCCTTTGCGCCAAGGGGGGTGCCCTTAGGGTTAGCCTGGCGTTTCCTGGCATGGCCGCCATTTTTCGTCTTGGGTCAGGGGTGTGTTGGAGGGCAGTGGAGAAAGAGTAGCTGGAAGTGGTGAAGTTGATATTGCAGCCACTGGGCCGCGCGAGATGAAGTGATTGGCTAACATCGGGCAAAGCATACGTTTAGGTGGTGAAGTTGACATCGCAGCCACACTCATAGGAGGATAGGAGGTAGAAACAGAAAGTATAGTACACAGGTTTGGGGGGGTGCCCTTTTTCGTCGTGGTTCGGGGTTGTTTTGGAGGTGAAAAAGGGCACCCTCGAAGGAAGTGAGGGGTGGTAGCTTGCTGCGTGGTGCCAATCAGTGAGCAAAGATGGTTATGCGGCGGTCGATTGGCGAGGTTATCGGCAGGCTTTCGGGAGGAGACTTGTATGTATATAGGTAGAGTGGAGAAAGAGTTGCCGGAAGTGGTGAAGTTGATATTGCAGCCCCTTGAGCGTGCAAGATGAAGTGATTGGTGAACATCTGGCAAAGCGTGCCTTTATGTAGTGAAGTTGATATTGCAGACACTTGCATAGGAGTAGAAAAAGAAAGTAGAAATACACAGGTTGGGGGGATGCCCTTTTTCGTGTTGGTGGAGGGCTGTTTCGGAAATGAAAAAGGGCACCCCTAAGGAAGTGAGGGGCGGTTGCCTGCTGCGTGTTGGCAATCTGTGGGCAAAGAGGGGGGGGGGGCCGTGGGCGAGGCTAGCGGCAGGCTTTCGTGAGGATAGCTATGTGTATGCGCGGAGAGTGGATGTAGAGATGTTGTGGAGGTGAAAAAGGGTACCTCTGTTTCCCGGGAAGGTTTGAAGTCAGCGCAGCTTCAGGGCCAAAATGGGTTGGGTGATAATTCGTGTGGGTTCAGTCAAAGATTAGACCTATAGTGGGGAATATGGGAACAACCCTCGCAAGTCTTTTCTCTCGCATGCCCCCAACAGATGGCATCATGCACCCCATATGGGGCGCCCTTTGAGTCCGACAGCTAGACCTAGAAAAAAGGGCGCCCCTTCGCAGCTTCCACTGAATGGGGTGCCCTTTTGAGTCCGACAACAAAACTTAAACCTTTCCACGAGAAAAAAGGGGCACCCCTTAGCACCTTCCACCGCAAATGGGGCGCCCTTTTGTCCGGCAACTCAACCTTTCCAAGGGCATCCCCAAGCAACTCAAAACCTTCCGCCTCCAACGCTTGCCCACTCCCATCTGTTCTCTCTCCTGCCCATTCCTGCCCTCAACAGATGCACATGCGCCCCATGTGGAGTGCCGTTTTGAATCCGGCAACCCGGGCAATTCAACGCTCACCCGCTGCAATCTGTTCTCTCGCATGCCCTCAGCAGATGGCATCATGCGCCCCATATGGGGTGCCCTTTTGAGTCCGACAACAAGGCCTTGCCACAAATAAAGAAGGGCACCCCTAACCAACTCAAAACCTTCCGCCTCCAACGCTTGCCCGCTGCAATCTGTTCTCTCTCTCTCTCTCTGCCCTCAACAACCCCCCGAACAACTCAAAACCTGTGTGCCTGCCTCATCCACGTGAACTCCCACCGCATAGGGGGTGCCCTCTTCAATCTGGCAACTAAAAAAGGGCGCCCCCAAGCAATGCTAAGCTTGCCCGCAGCTGCAAGCTGTTCTCTTTCCGGCTCTCAAGTATAGGGTGAGTTCCAACCACTTCTCACGCCCCCTTGTCTTCTCTTTCCTCTCATCGACGTGACAGTTTACATGGCCTCCTGACTCCTTCGTGATGCTACTGATGCACAGCTCGCCGTCAATTACATCACTTGCACCACAACACCCCAAAAAACCACTCATTTTCACTACCTTGTGGCCACCTCTTTTTTTCGCTCTCCTTCACCAGTCTCTCTCTCCAAACGTGCCCCTCTGGCAACCACCCCCCCTTTATTCACTTCGTTCGCATTGGAACCTCAAGCCTTGCCTATCGGCTGGCTTTCGTGATGTTGAGTGGGCTTGCAGCGACTTGGAAGAGTGGACTGAGTGTTGAGTCGGCATGTTGCCAAATTTTGAGCGCACGTTTAGCTGGCCAGGCCTTCGCGTGAGGCGAGTAACTTTGTACGGCACAATTTTGCTCAACCCACACTATATATATATATATACGCTGGCCGACGACGCTTCCCACATGCAGTATTTATAACTTGCCTTCTGGCCCAAGACCAAGCGCTGCGATGCCTGGAAAAAAAAGTAAAAACTATGCAAAGGCAAGGAAGCTGAGTTCGAAGACATTTCTAATTTATCGCTTCATTGTTGCTGTGGCCTTCAGCAAGCCTTGTGCCACAGCATCCACCAAGCAACCTTCGGTCTGCTTCTGAAGCGTTGCCTTAAACACTGTCGCTACGCGGAAAGCCCAAGTCCCCCCTTGCTGACAGCTCTCATGCATTCTCAGGCCAAGGCTGGACGCAAAGCGCGAGAACTATGATCCCACCGCTTGGTCGTAGGGAAAGCTGCTCGTCCAAGGCCTTGGGTGATGTTCGCCACAGGAGGAGCGAGGCAAGCCAGTGGGAGCAAACAAACGCAATTGAAATCCACTTCAACCGGGTAATGCATCATGTAAAGAAGAACTCTTCCAAAAAATTACAAGAAACACACACAAACTTTAGACGTCAGCATAATTCAGTATCTATTTTTGAAAAACATACAACAAATACATTTGATGTGCAGACTAAGCCGGCTCTCCGGCTCTCCGTGCGCGTTCAGCAAAGGAGGTTACACTTCTCAAGTAAAGCAGCAAAATCGCTGAGTCGGTTTATTGGGGCAATCGGTGATCGAGAGATTTGTGCCGATGTTTACCGCTAGCAGCCGCTAGCAGGTCGATTGGTCTCATACTTGAGGATCAGTGCATGGAGCCTGAAGAGACCAGAGAATCCTGAAGGTGCAGAGATTACAGAGATAGCAACCCAGTCCCTTGGCTGGAAGTTCCGCAAAGCTTTGGTGTGTCGCAGCCAGGCCCCATGGCGGGAAAATACTGTGACGGGATGAAACAAATACAAAATTTTCGTTGTACCGTTTACTCAGTTTACTCCGCAGGGTTCTGTCCTCGGCATTTGAACGAAGTCACACCACAAGCCATCACAGTGCATAGATGAGGCTGAAGAACACATGTAGTGCGAGACACACACAGCTGTGGACGGAGCCGCAAAGGCGGATGTAGGGAAGCTGTTAAGAACTGCTAATACCTCACGCTTGATCACTTTCTCTTTTCTTGTTGCTCAGGTTGGAGGCCATCGCTATTAGGTTGGAGGCCATTGCTATCAGTTGTTGTTTTTTTTTAGCCCTTGGATCAAACACCTACCAGCGGTGGGGCGGTCCTAGCTAAGCTTTGATCATGGAAAGTTTGGTCGTAGAGCCGCAGGTGGCCAATTTAGATTTGGATGCAAGAGTTTCGCTGGTCATCCAGGTCGAGTGGATTGACACGAATGGTTGGATGTTAGGGGAGACAGTCTGCCACCGTCAGAAGGTGTGGATCCAACATGACTTGGATATAGTCCGGGCCGTGAAGATCACCTTTCTGGATTTGGTTGTCACCCGTGCTGACAATATTCCTTCATTGAAGATGGATCGAATGTCCTTTTCCTTTGTGCATCAGGTGCTCACACCGGAATCCCTGCTGCAGGTGGTGGAGACCTGCTCAGGTTTAGGAGCACTTGGTCACGGGGCTGAAGCTGCAGGCTTTAAGGTCATGGCCAGAAATGAAGTTAGGCATGAAATCTGCGATTTTTTGGAGCGACAGGGAGGACCGGTCATCATTCGAGGAGATATTGGTGATTCCATCACGGTCGCTACAATCATGAAGCAGGTTCCAACTATGGGGGTGTTGACAGCTGGAGTGTCATGTCAGCCCTTCTCACGCATGGGAGATCGACGAGGAAGTGCTGATGTCAGAGCCAGTTGTTTGCCAAAAGTGCTCAGGGCAGCATATTGGATGCAAGTGCCAATCATCGTGTTGGAGTGCGTTGCTGAGGTGGTCCGGTTCCCAGCCTTTGACCGGTGCATCAAGGCCTTTTGTGAGGCTTCTGGATTCCACTATGAATCGGTCTTGCTTGAGCTGGGGGATGTATGGGTTTCTCGGCGACATCGATGGTGGGGTGTCCTGTCGAAAAAGAATCTGGGGCCATTCAAATTGTTTGATTGGAGTGGGATCAAGTCCACCCCAAAGATTTCATTGGTTCTGAATAGCTTTGATACTGTCCCTCCAGAACATGCAAAGCAATTGGCTTTAACGTTGTATGAGCTTCGTTCCATCCAAGAGCTCGGCACCTTGGAGCGCTATGTCATCAACATTGAGGAGCAGGCACCGACAGCAGTTCATTCTTGGGGCAGTCACTTCCATGGTTGCCGATGCGGCTGTAGAAATACTGGACTGACCCTGGAGCGATTGCAGAGAGATGGCATACATGTCCTCTTGATCCCAGTGAGTGGGTCCACCAAGCACATGGGCATGGAGCTTCAACATATGAGGTATCCCTCAGGGGCGGAGTGTGCATTGTTGAATGGGTTGTCTCCCAACATGCAGTGGGGCCAAGATGCTCGGCTTGGGTTGTGTCTGGTTGGACAACTGGCATCACCCCTCCAGAGTGCTTGGGTGTTAACACATGTTCGCCAACATCTCGCCTTTCGAGGACTTTTGCCGCCAGGTGGTGAAGGGCCATTGGAGGTGTTGTCTAAACAGAGGACCAAACTCATTGAGGAGGCAGAACAGGGTGGATTCTTTCGATTCTCGATGGATGCAGGTGGTCAAGGTGCTCCTCCTGTCGGTGATGGGGCCAGGATTCCCATGGAAGTTCACACTGCACCTTCCAGTGGGATTAAGGATGGGGAGTTCCTGGGGGTGGTGAATGGAGTTGAACACAAGATTCCCTTCAAGGCAGGTTGCCAAATTTGGCACTGGATCCAAGCAGAGATGGCCTTTCATCCGGCAGGTACCAAGTTTGTGTGTGTCGACAACGTTGGCCATCTGGTCAATCTGCATTCGGAGATTTGTGATGCTACTTGGATCCGGTTGGACATCATGGAAGGGGAAGGAGATAGCAAGGTCGTTCTGCCGGCCATGATCATCCAGGACCAACGCCCACCATGCATTTTGACGCCTCAGGATGTGGTGCAGATGAGGAGCAATGGACCCATTCTGGCCCAGAAACTCCTTGAGGTGTGTGATCCGGGCCAACCATGGGGTGATGATGAGATTGCATGGCATCTGGGAAAGTTGGCAGAAGAGGCAGATTCTTTTGCAGTATGGGTGGATCCTTTGGTCACAGCAAGTCACCTTGTCCATGGCACAACCGTGTTCTTGGCCACTGATTTACCTTTTTTCCGGGTGCAGGGCTGGCTTTTGAGTGTTCCGTTCATTGAGGGGCACTGGATTCCGCTGTTGGGATTTGCAGATGAGGACCATGTGCATTTTTCGGTTTGGGACACTACCTCCGAGCATTTTGCATTACTGGAAGGGCTCTATCGTCCGTTGACAAAACTCATTGGAGCTGAGACTTTCTCGGTTACCAAATATCTTCGGGGGGCAACAAATCTGCAGAGTTGTGGGCCTGATGCCATCGCACATTTGCATTTCGCCATGTTGAAATGCATTGCTCCGACACCGCGGCAGTTAGAGCACATCTCTTCTACCAGGCATTGGGCTTATGTTCAGCATTTGCAAGACACACAACAGTGTCAAGACGCAGTGTTGCGAGGAGCAGGAACTCATCAAGGTCAGTTAGCAAGTCAGATGACTGCGCTGTTGATTGAAAAGGGCGTCTCCCAGGTTGATGCTGACCAGCGTGTTGCTTCAGCTTTGGAGCGAATAGGCCATCAGAAGTTGCAGCAAGCCATGAAGTCTCCCTTCCCATGGAGCCAGTTGAAAGTCCTTGGGAATCAGTGCAATCCACCATTGAGGTGGATTTCCCAGCAGGAGTTAGAAGAACAGATCAGACTCAAAGCGGCCTCGGGTCAAGAGATTGGCAACAGAGGGAAGGTCAAGAAGCAGAAGCGCCTTCCTTTCACAGTGTGAAGCCTCCACCTCCAGTCACGGTTCGTCCTGATCAGATCTTTCTTGCTGACCATACATTTGTGGGGGTCAACCAGGATGGCTCGACAGAGGGCCTGAAGACAATTTCCATCACGAGTTTAGGCCCGGAAGCCACTGGGGTCGCCTTGTGCTTGCCAGATCAATGCCGTCCTTATTTGTGCCTTCAGCAGCCTTTGTCCAAGAAAGCATTGGGTTTGGTGGTGGTTGGCGAACCACGTCCAGAGTTGAGTGCACCCAGGGTGACGGAGGTCAGATTTCCGGCAAAAAGGTTGGGAGGCATGGAACCTATTCTGGTCAATGCAGTGCTGATTCGGATTGGTGACCGCCCGGTGCAAAAGTACAAGCCAGACCACTGTATGAGTTTGGATATTCTCCAGACTAGTGTCATCAGGTTTGCAATATACCGGGATGAACTCCAAGATGACTGGACGACCGTCACTGACAGACCCATCCGGCACCTCCAAGATACGTTTCCGCCTATCCAGATCTGCTTGCAAGATCCGTGTGGATGTGCAAAGTGGCATAGCAAGGGTGAACAGGTGGCATCACCGTTGGTTGATATATGGGCCAGGAGTTTCCTGACGAGTACATTTCGACCAGCTCGTCCTCAGGATGCAGAGATCTTTTCAGTCATGACGAGGCTTCCGAAGAAGCTGATTGAGCTAGTCCTTCGAGCTTCGGGGACCCATGGGATCTATGTTGAGCCACGTGCAGAAGACACCAGGGAGGCATGTGCTGACTACCAGGTGATTTGGCTTCCAAAGCACAAACGTGAGGAAGCAACCCTTTTGAGTAAGCAAATTCCGGGGGTAGTTGGATTGGCTAGATCTGGCGACAGAGTGGGCCTGCGAGTTGTGACAGCCATGGCGGAGAAGGTGGCCACATCCATTCGTCCGGATGAAGTGTATGTTTCGGCACTTGGTCGGAAGCAGTTTCAGATTGGCCCTATCCCCTACGGAACTCAGCGGGTGGCATTGGCTAAGGCACTGAAGGAGTTTGGGTGGAACGCCAAGCCGGTCCAGGTCGTTCAGTCAGGATTCTCCGTTCAAGGCCTCCATTGGTCCGTACAATCCACAGAAGATCCTCCAAGTACAGTTCTGCATTTTCGATCTTCGGAGGCCATCATCACCCCGGTTGGCAGTGATATAGTTCCCACGAGACAAGCGCCATCCGTTGTTGCTGCCAAGGGAACGATTGCCAAGTTGAGGCCGACTCAGAGTGCGTCCAAGGAGCAAAAGGACATCCTTCAGACAAATGACCCATGGGCGAGGTTCAAGCCTGCATCCTCATCGGCTTCTCAGGTCGATGTCTCTCAGTTGGTGCAACATGTTCGATCTGAGGTCTTGGCGAAGATTCCTGCCCCAGTTTCCACTGCACCTGGGGGGGATGTCGATATGACCAGTTCGCAAACGGAGACGCGGATTCAGGCACTTGAGAAGA